TCCACAAGTTCACAATTTAAATGGTATTTCAGATTCTACCACATTCAGTTCTTAGTATGAGGAGAACCTGCAGTATAACAGAGAATTTGATAATGTCTAAAAAAAATTAATTAGAAAATGCATATTTCCAATGTAAATAATTTCTCATTTGCTTATTCAGTTTTACTACTAATTGAATGGTCTCCTATGTGTCTCGGCATTTGCAATGACAGCATTTGTGAGAAAGTTATTTTTATGATGTAATGTGGGAGTTTATTACATATATTTGTAGATTCCTTTCCTGTTAGACAATTTGGTGTTTGCTTTCTTTTTGATTCTTTTATGTATCCCTTGCTTCCCGGAAAGACCACTGAGGCCACAGATGAGCTCTTTATTTAACTTGAAATTATTTTAATTTAGTCCAGAGTTTCCAAAGATTAATTATTTTGTTCACTCAACTTCAGATTGCTTCATCTGCAGGAAATTAATGTTCAGCATTACTTGGAAGTGAAGGAAAAGGAACAGATCATTTTTAAAAGTCTGTCATTAATACCATATACTGTATTTTTCTATTCCTAATGACTGGGATTTTCCATATACTGTATTTTTCTATTCCTAATGACCATACAAAATCAACCATACAAAATTAAACCCAAACACTTCAGGTATGATAGTGAGCTCATCAGTCAGTGGAAACCTTTCACTGGTTTTAAAAGATTTGGGATTATTCCCAGAAGCAGGTGTATAGCTTCATAAAAACACACGTGAGTATCCCCACATAAAACTCCAAGACAGTTCAGTTGCAGTCACACATCCTGTTCAGACCACAGGCAGCAAGGCTGGGTGGGGATTGATTGAGGTTCTTGGAACTGCCCACCTTCTCTCCCCAGGCTGTCTGTTCAGGTATAACTACATCTCTAATCACTCCCTAACGTGATACAGTTTAGCTTATGCCCTTTGAATGGCAGGTCATTTCTAGGATGTCTAAAATTTCTCTTCACCTTCTATGGGACTGCTTGCGTGCCAGCCAGCAACAATTCAGGGGATGACTCACTGGATGCAAGTTAAGCACCAGCTCCTGTCGAAAGACAATAAGAGTTGATTAACTCCCAGCTGAGCTTTTGAAAATATCCAACTTTGCTCTTAGGCCACCTTTCAGCTGAAAATAATGCATAGAGAGTGCTACTGGTTGCAGTAGAGCAGAATATTCATTTTAGCTCAGGCAGCATGATATCTCACTTAGCAGCAATAAGCTGCATTTAAAAAAAAAAAAAATCTGGCAGCCCAGAATTAACAGAGTGGGTGAAATACTGTGAGGAGCAAGAGAGACAGCGGTGGATGTTATGGAAAGACACAGGGTCTGATTATCCAGGCGTTGAGAGGGATGGGGAAAAAAAAAGAGGGGATGTTCTGCAGCTTAATTAATGGAAAGAGGCTTGTGCATCTGACAGCAGCCCCTCTGCAAGGTGAATTCTTTCATAAAGAGCCTCATTCATGAGTTGCCAAGACATCCACAACCTATTCTTGAATTCACACAAAAATTAAAAGAAAAACAACTGACTGGCTAATTTAGCGACTTGCAGGATGCAGCTGGTGCTACTGTTTTCACAAAAAAAAAGGCCTTTTCCCTTCTACCTCCTAACCATTCCAGTCTTCCTCCCCACCCCCAGCTATTTTGTATCCTGCTGCACCAGTGAGGAGTGTGACAACTCCTGACTTAGCTGGCACTGTGGGATATCGAATAACAAAGGGGAATAATATCAGGATAACAGGGGGATTCTGGCCAGTGCTAAGGAAAACAATTCTGACAATCTCGCTGCTTGCCCGGGTCCTGCCGTCAGCTGAGAGGTAGAACTTTACTCTTTTTCTGGTGTGTGCTGGTTTTTTGTTTGGCTTTTTTTAAATGAAATAAACAAAAGGCTTCGTTATGTTGGATACTGCAACTCCTGCCCTGGCATCTTGATAAATCACCAGCTACCTATCCTATGTACCACTGCAGAGACAGTTTGTATAGGCCAATGTATATGAAGAAAATACTTCATGTTTCCAGCATCAATATATTATTACCTTAGTTTTTCCTAGCTACTATAGTAGTTCCCATTCTCATATTACCTGACACAGAAAAGCAAGTCCCTCCTGCCCCCCAAATCCCTTTTCACTCAGATTTTCCTTCCCAAAGGATATTTAATACAAAATCCTGCTGTGCGTGACAATAATTTAACAACTGGAGTTAGTCAGGTTGGGAGCCCTAATGCAAGCAAGCCACTGGCTATTTTGAAAGCAGCATTGAACAAATCTAAAGGTTTCTGAAAGGTATTTGAAATGATGTGGTATGTTGCCACCTGACTCTGACAGGCCTCCTAGTCTAGCTAACAGAGGTAGAGTTGCTCTAGTACCGGCAGCTATGGGAAGTGACTGAAATAAATTGTTTGTGCAGTCAGAGCTTTATTTAGCAAGGGAACCTCACAACTAATGCTGCCAACAAAGAAAGTAAAGAAAACATCATGCAGACCTAGATAAAACTCCAGCTGGAGACAGCGGTTGAGTCCTTGAGACCTGCTACACTCAGCTTGGTTCAAGCTGCGAAAGGAGGAGCCCAGAGTGCAGGTTGCTCAATTCTCAAACAATACAGAGCAGACCTCAAGTTCTCCTAAGCCTGGGCTCAGCAAATTCAGAGCTGGTTTGTCACATGGGTTATCGCCCAAAATCCCAGCCTTTATGAGAAGGTGGGTGTGCCAGGAGATGCCGAGCAGAAGTTGAAAGGGGAAGTGCTCCAACCAGCTCTGCAGTAGGTGAGGGTTTTCACTGTCCCTTGACTCTGAAATGTGGTGGGTGTGCCTTTCAGTCACGGTTCTTACTGCTCTGGCTGCTTGGGAAGCTCAAGTAGGGTTCCTTGTCTAGTAGACCAAGGGCTGGGCAGCGTGAGAACAGTCTCCAAATTACATGGCTAGTAAGAGCCTCCCTGGTCATTTCAATTTCTTCAGCTTATTCTATGATTAATAGGACTTCAAAAAATAGAGTGGAAAGTGGATGAGAATGGGATTAACAAAAATATGGTCAAGTTCTCTCCCCCCCCCTTTTTTCTCCATGTTTCTTGGCAATGTTTGACCAATAAAAGACTGCCAACAAATTCAAGTCTGGAAATTTTCCCCTGGCTAAAGCTGAACGAGAATGTAGTACACCCACATCACAGTTGGAAGTGGTGAGGATTCATTCAGTTACATTAAGGACTGTCAGGATCCTTTAGAGGCTCAAAGTAACCTTATTCAGCAAAACTGCCTTTGCAGTGTCTTTTATTTAGTTTCCAAGTAGTGAGGATGGCTGCCCTTTCATCTGAAGGGCTCAGCAAGAGCAATGCCAGGCTTTTTGGAGAGGCTTCCCCCCACCCCTTCTTGTCCAGTTGGATCTGGAGAAAGTTATAAAAGTAATGTTCATTAAAACAGAGAGCAAGAGAGTGTTCTAGCAGTTTGGAGATCACAAAAAGCTGTTGGGAAGCTGTGAAAGGGATTTTGTGTGAACTCTAAAAAGAATCCCCCCTTCTCATGAAGTGACAACCCAATATCCCCAAAGGGAACAGCAGGAGGGAAACCTAAACCTGTGGACAAAGTCAACTGATAATGATTGGAGAGTTAATTACTTTAAAGCTCACAAAGACAAGCTGAGGTGTTAAAACGGCTCCTACAAACACCAGTATCCTCCCCTTTCACCTAGACTAACTAATCGCAGCAGGCCGGTAGCAAGAACGGCCTGAGCAGCCCCTGATTACGGCAGCTTTCACTAGCTCTGAGCAAACTGATCTTTATTGATTTTCAGTTCCATCCTTCATCTCATCAGCCCTCACCAAGTATTACCGTAAACATGCATAAAAACACAAAGCTGCATCAAGCTCAGTGATGCTGGTTGATACAGAGTCCTGCAATATCCCAGGCCTTCCTCTTGGGATTAGCCTAGAAAACACTACTCTTGCGCACAGCAGCAAAATGCTTCTTGTCGTATCAGTGCCTTTTACATGGCAAAAGGAGAAACTTAAATCCAGTATCGCTATAACTAACAATTTACTGTGGAGCCTAGGTGCTAATCCTTTTTTCTCCAGCAAATTTGTTTTGAGTCACACTTAATATTAAGATTCCATTTGTGAGGTTTAACACGAGATTAGCAGGTGTTTCTCTGTAAAGCGTATAGAGTTTAAATACATCGATAGTGTGATTCAGACAATGATGAGCTATTATTATAAAGAAACCTATTGACCCATCGGACTCATAACAATTGATTACCATTTATTAAAACATCTATTAATCACTTACTAATCCTTCATCATGTTTGTATAAATAGAACCCCTCTATGCAATATTGTGAAATACTGTGTATATGAAAGACACCATCTTATAGGACACATATAGAAGAGCCACCTGGGCGGGGAGGGGTTCTGCTTTGCTTTTAGCCTTTTCCTTTGCAGTCCTAAATTCTATTTATCCGGTTGCCTCTGTAACACGTATAATAGTTAATGCAGCAAAAAGACATGCTCCTGCTAAGGTTTCAAATATGTGTTAAGAGGCCACTAGTTTCTTCTCCCTGGCTAGCACCGCTACTCCGTAACTGGATCTCCTGTGGCTAGAGCAGGGCCTGTGGAACCCAGGTGGCCAGATTTTTCTTTAAGCTGGCATCCTCTTCTAGCCACTTTGCTCTATGCTTAGTATCTCTGGTTGGAGAACAAGAAAAATAATATACAATCACCTAACAGAGCTCTTATAGGAACTAATTAATTAAGGATTGTAAAGTACTTTGATATAGCAATGTGGTGTATTAGCCAGAGTAGAATGGAACATGTGGGATTTATGATAAAAAGTCACTGTCTCCACCCCTGTGGGACAACAGCTGATCTACCACAAACACTTATTTCCAAATTACAGTATTACGGCAATTACAACTCCTGAGTTGAGACTGTTATAGCATTTACCTTATAACCTGTTAGTTTCACGAATTAAAAAGCCCCCAAATCAGTAAGATGGCAGCAGGAGACTATTTTATACTATTATTCAATTTTATTAAATGTAATAGATGAGACAGCAAGTGATCAGAAAATATGCCCACAGGTTAATCACTTTGTGTGTGTCTGTCTGTGTATGTACAAATATAGGCACATATATATTAATATAATCTATATTAGTATTTCCTAATAGTGCTTAAATTGGGCAGTGATGCTCTGTTGTGTGTGGCAATGCATACCCTCACGCATAAACCAAGAAATGCTCTGTTTGTATTCAGGGGGGTAGACTTAGTTCCACAGGTGAAAAAAATGAAAGGCTATTTTAATCCAGAAAGACTATGAGGTTGAAGGTTTGGGTTACAGGGAAGCCGCTGAGCCCATGGCAGGAGAGCTAAGCAGAGGAGGTGGTGTAGGTAAAGAATATATACCTGCCTTCAGCTCATCGTGGGGACACACTCAGGGGGGCTGCAGAGGCTGGGAAGAAACTCGCTGCGCTCTTGGGATGACTTTTCTCCCCAGGATCACTTCTTTTGACAGCATATGCCAGGGGAAGCAATCTTCAGGTGACCGTATACATCTGTGGTTACGTATGGTAATCATAGAAGGGACATCCTGGCTTTGTTGAAGTCATAGGAAGTTTTGCCAGACTTTGATGAGGGTCAAGACTTCACGCTCCAGAAGCTCTGAAGATAAATAGGGATCTGTCACCATACCAACATGGACAACTGTATAATTGTTTCTAAATACAGAACAGCCCCACCAGTTCTAATGAAACTGCACCAGCGATTAAAGCCTTCTAAGGGAAAAATCTTATTCATATATATGGCAGTAATTTAATGCACAAGAATTTTCTCGCTGATTTCAAATTAGTGTTCAAACTCTAATTTAGCATTCTTTTTTGTATACTGATGAATTTGGTCTGCATATGGGCTGGGCTTCATTTAAGCGGTAGTCTCCAGCTTGTCTTACACCACTGCTATATGTACAGCAGTTCTAAGAGTTTGATTTTTGGGAACTGAATTTAACTCAGACCGTGCTCAGCCCTTAACTTTGCGCTTTCTCTCACTTATGATCCTAAAATAGCAAACATACACGCATTTTTAGAATAATCCTAAGGACTTTTGGAGAGAAGTAGTATGCTTACTACATACACTGCAATATAGATGTGCAAGCAAACATATTTTTCCACAGGAGGGAGGAAAAACATCCTTTGAATAAGGATATTTAAACTATAATTAAAGCGGGGAAATTAATGGAATAGAGTGAACTGGGCCGTAGTGCTTCTTTCTATAAGCTGATGAGAGAGAGTGGTTTTCATTTTAGATACTTTTTTTAATATCAGGGACATCTTTTTAGCAGATGGAATGGGGTGTATTCAATGTGTAGGTGTCTAGGCACCTGTTAGTGCTCAAGGGCATTAACTGTTGTACTTCACCAGTTTAGCAGTGGCTATGGGAGACTAAATCCCTCAAAGTCTGACAGTAGAAGACATGCTAAAGTGTGAATTTACTTGCTTGCACTAACCTCCTTGGTGGGCTTATAACTTTTCCATGGATATTTTTAATGTAGTTGTTGGTGGCTTGTTTTTTTTTTTTGCATACAATAAACCAAAAACACTTCCTATCTAGATCACAGACCAAAACACACACAATGTTAGACATTCTCAATTAAATACAAAGTGTTTCAGGTACTTCTGGCTTGTCTGTGTAACAGGCACTGTCTCAAACTGAACTGCCCTAAATTCCCATGATGCAATTCTTTTGAAGTTATTATTTTGGGAAATAGTATAATTGCCAGTGATAGTCGATCCAAGTTTGCTGGAGGATGATTCATGTATAAAGAAGTTCATGTGCTTAACTTCACAATTTACATAGTGTTAGCTACACCTGTAAATGTCAAGATCCATAGGAATTTCTCTTCAAACAAAAGGTTCTTGAATATGTTAAAAACTGGAACACAACACTCAATGACATATTGTCCTATAAAATTTATTTTTAGGAAAGGAATCAAATTAAGAAGAAAAATGACAGTATTCAAACCAGAGACTTTTATGATTTTTCTCTGTGCTATTAATTACGTCTTCAGCACACTGGTGATTTCAAAATGGCCAAACAGATTGTCGAGTTTTCTCCAGTGTTTTGTTTCCTGAACTGGGATGTGCCACGCCAAGTTTCAGTTTCAAGAGATTATTTTTCTCTTTTACCACTAACCAAGTTGTAAATTTCCCAGAAACAAAAAAAAAAGCAAACCACGTTTATAATGGAAATGTTGACACAACATTCAGAATAGCATTGCAAATGTGACACTCTGCTACAAATTGTGCTGCAATGATTTATATTGTTTCCAATAATTTAAAATCTATTTTCAATCACAGCCAAGTCCTGCATAATGCATGAACCTTGAAGGAATCTCCAACAAATATTGGGTCACTACACATTTCAACTTCCTGCTCTACATTTAAAGGGCTGCATCTGGCAGTTAAAAGACTAAAACCTCAGTCAACAGGTATGGTATCATAGATACATGCTAGAATATTATTTTCGCCCGGTAGCTTTCCGTAAGTAGGTCATTCAATTTTACAGTGCTCTAAAACATCACCAAAGAGCTTCCTTATACAGTATCTCCAATAATTGACTCTGAAAAAGTTGCACTAAACCTCAACACTTAGTATTTTATGTCAGAAACTTTGTTGGCTTGCTGATCTACATACAGTACATGATCTAGGAAGGACCTTCTTGATTTATTGTAGAAGGTCATTTTCCACCCACTGTAAAAGGAGGGACATTTTTTTCTTTTATCTTTTCTTCTTCAGGACCAGACGTTAATTTTAGAAAACTTTGCCAGACAGGCGGCTAACACAACTTGTAACCCACAAGATATGGAAAAGAGGATGTCTAAGAGACCTCTGAGATGGGTCACGTCTCAAGTGTGGGAAGATGGGGGTGTCTTCCCTGAGTAGATGCTCAGGTAGGTAGATTACCTTTTCCTCCCTTGCGTGGGTAGATACCGTACTGTACTTCATCACGCCATACTTCGCTGAAAAGTGGTGTTTCAGCCATAGTTGAGAAAAAATCCATCATGAAAATTAAAACTTTGACATGGTGAGTGGCCTTTGGCAACACAGTTCAAGACAGCCTGGAGGAAGCCTTTAAGAGAGTCTTAAATCCATCTGTGTTACCACCTTGCCCTTTAAAATACACTCCTCAGGACATCTTGTTACACTTACAGCAAACTCAATGGGAGGATAACATCTGCAATTTGTTCGCCCTCCTTTCATCCCTCGGACTAATTATGGTTGCCTCAAACACAGACCTCTTCCTCCGGACCCAGGAACCGCTCAAGCCCTCGAGGAAGGATTTCCCGAAGCCTGCCCGTGGCGCTGCTGCCACCGAGACGTTTGAAATCGCCACCACATCGGAGGTGAACCCCAAACCAAGACGCCGGGGGGTTGGTGGCGGTGTGAGGGCCCCCCTGGGAGGCGGTGGCGGCGGCCCCTTCCCCTCAGGCCGCCTTCCCGCCCAACGCGCCCCGTCAACGGCCACCCGCGCGCCCCTTCCCTCAGCCGCGCGCTCCGTCCCTCAGCCGCGCGCCCCGTCAACGGCCACCCGCGCGCCCCTTCCCTCAGCCGCGCGCTCCGTCCCTCAGCCGCGCGCCCCGTCAACGGCCACCCGCGCGCCCCTTCCCTCAGCTGCGCGCCCCGTCCCTCAGCCGCGCGCCCCTTCCCTCAGTCGCGCGCCGCCGCGGGGACGCGCCTCCCCCCCAAACTTTATCGCCTTTTCCCCCCTCTTCTTTCTCTCCCTCTTTTTTTTTTTTTTTTTTTCACAGTTATAATGAAAAAGAAAAAAAAAAAAAAAAGGTGGGGGGAGCTCAATTTCCCACTTGCCAACAGCAGATAAAAAAAGTGGGGAGGGACCTCTTCTGTCACAGCCTATGTAGATTAACCTTTCAATTAGCTGTTATCAGGTCCTGTGTCTTAGCACCCGTCCTCGCAATCTGCGCCCGCCCGGCATCGGGGAGGCTGGAGGTCTGGGGTGGGTTTCTCTTGCTTTAATTTCTAAAATTAATGATAATTGCCGGCGCGGCTCCCCTCCCCCGCCGCGGGCTGAAGGCTCGTCTCTGCTCTCTCTTCTCTCCGCCCGTCCACCTTTTGAGTATTTTGGAGTGAGAAGAGGAGCCCCGCGGAGGAGGAGGAGGAGAGACAAGGTATTCTCTCTGTATTCATCTTCTTTTTCCACACCCCCCCCCGCTTCTTTCCTTCC